ATGTAGGGAAAGCAACCTTAATAGGATTTATCTTGACCCTAGGGCATAAGCTATTTTTTTCTGTTTATAGTCATCCGTCTTCTGATCAGTAATGAAGTCTAAATGGTTCTAATAGTCCAAAATCCTTTGCAGTATGCTCCTCAATTTTGCTTTGATACTGAAACTGTCAATAATTCAGTTTTAGCTGAGATACGCAGAGTCCCCGTTTCTGCTGCCCCGATCAGCTAGGTTAAGTGGTAGTGAGGTGTGAGGGTGCAGATATGGCCGGCTTTCTTTTGTGTGAATATTCACTCTCCTTTCTTGAAGCTCTTTATTTATCGTTGTTAAGGATCTTGATCTTGGTGCTTTTGGAAAGAATTCCTTAGAGACCTTTGACTTGAGTTTCTGATTTTTCCTTGAGTTATGATCTTATGTGATTACATATAAGCCTTACTTTCATAAACACGGTAAAGAACATGAAGTAGAATCTGAAAATATTATGACAGTGTCCTTGGGGGGACTGGGCAGTTTTGGAAGAGGCCACTGACCTCAATCTTGTAAGTCAAGGAAGACTCTAGTCATACTGCTTAGAGTTCAGAGGCTTTGGAGGGGGAAGGGGGGCAAGATTGGAAAATTCTGAGCCAATAACAAAGACAGCTGGATGATAGACTCTTCCTTTATGCCACTTCATGCGTGCCCAAAGGCCTTTATTCATGATAATAATGCATAGCTCTCAGAGCTCATGTAATAACACACTAAGTGCTTAGTTTTGCGCTAAGCATTTCTGCATCAATTTATCAGGTAGTGTATATATTATTAGTCCAAATTTATGGATGGATTAGTTGAATCTTAATAGAGTATATATAATTTTTCCAAGGTAATAGTGAAGAATGGGGAATCACCTTTAGTTCTATTTGATACCAAAGCCTATAGCTTTATCAGTACACACAACTCCATTGGCTTTATTCCTCAAGGATTCTCTGATTGAAAGAGATCATATTCCTTTAATGTTGGTCACAAAACTATTCTAGACTATGTATAACTAACATATTGAAAAATATATTTCACCCATGAGTTCTTCAGTGGAAGGGACCCCTGGAATGTGCTATACCCCTGACTACTCTGCTCCACATTTACTATAAAAAATCTGTTTTAATTTTCTTTGCATATTTTATTCCCTCTGATAACTTTCCAGTCCTGCAGCCTTATAATTTGCTCTATCTTCATTATTTTTCTACCTTCTAGCAGAGCTCAATACACACTTGTTCAATAAATATTTAGTAAAGAAATGATTCCATTTATACTAGACCACTTCCAAGAAAGAAATTATTTCATTTAATTTGTTCATGTTATCATTTCTAGTTCTTCTTTTCACATATGAAAAGAAGTCAAAAATCTTAAACTTGAAGAATCTGAAAAGCCATAATTCCCTTTCTAAACCAATGAGAGCACAGCCCATAGTTTTTTAGTTGCTGTTCAACCTTGGATTACCAATAGTTGTACTGTGATCCTCAGGCAACTATGAGTGTCATAAAATTTTATGTTTCAACTCTTCATGCATTCTGTGTCCTGGAGAGACCTTGAAAGTCTCCACTAGATTATGCTACTGTAACACCTTGTACGGGACTGATAGATTTTTGGTCTACACAGCTTGTTAATGCAGTGAATGTGTTTAGTTCATATCTGATCTATTGGTTGACTAATAATGATTATAAATGTAACATCAGAATCAGGTGAAGATTTAACCAAGATTTTCCCTTCAGATACTGAGGTTGGCCAGGAACAAATGTATCATGGGAGTAGAATGTGCGTGTGCATACTTGCTTGCTTGAATCATTATCAACTTTCATTTAAAATGAAATAATAATAATAATAATAATAATTGGCTGAGAACATTTAGTAAGTCATAGCATATATAAAACTTTGTTTTAAGAATTCTCAGTAGTCTGTTATAGGTGATCGTATTATACCCATTTTACTTTATTTTTTTAAAGATTTATTTATTTATTTGAAAGTCAGAGTTACACACAGAGAGGAGAAGCAGAAGTAGAGAGAGAGAGAGAGAGAGAGAGAGAGGTCTTCAATCTGCTGGTTCACTCCCCAGTTGGGCACAACAGCCAGAGCTGTGCCGATCTGAAGCCAGGAGTCAGGAGCCAGGAGCTTCTTCCAGGTCTCCCACTTGGGTGCAGGGGCCCAAGGACCTGGGCCATCTTCTTACTGCTTTCCCAGGCCATAGCAGAGAGCTGGATCGGAAGTAGAGCAGCCGGGTCTCAAACCGGTGCGCATATGGGATGCCAGCACTTTAGGCCAGGGCGTTAACCCACTGTGCCACAGTGCCGGCTACTTATTATACCCATTTTAAGATGATATATTTTTGTTTGTGTAATTACCAATGTTTACAGTTGGAATTTTTAAAAAATATTTTATTTATTTGAGAAATAGAATTACAGACAGTGAGAGACAGAGGCAGAGAGGACCATCTTCCATCCACTGGTTCACTCCCCAAATGGCTACAACTGCTGGAGCTGCACCCATCCGAAGCCAGGAGCCAGGAGCTTCTTCCCATTCTCCCATGCAGGTGCAAGGGCCTAAGGACTTGGGCCATCTTCCACTACTTTTCCAAGACATAGCAGAGAGCTGGATCAGAAGTGTGGAGCAGCCAGGACTTAGAACCAGCGCCCATGTGGGATGCTGGCGCCACACGCTGAGGATAAACCCACTGCAGCACAGCGCCAGCCCCATACAGTTGCAACTTGCAGTGATTGCCATTTGAGTATAATATCTGGGAATTCCACCATGTGCTCTAGATATTTTTCTTAATTTCTTATGCTTCTTTCATTAATTCATAAAAGCCAAATATGGATTTTGTAAATCTGTTCTAATTTGTAGTTTGTAGAACTTCAAGATTATCATTGATATTTTTGTTTGTTTTCATAGCTTTCAAATTGTGAACTTATTCAAAAGAAATTATGGAAAATGAGTGCAATATTTTAAAAGTAATTTGTTCTTGAAATACATCGTATATATTTAGAAGTTTAAATTTGAAAGAGTAATGCTTTCATACAAGTATTTATAATTCCATTACATGTTATTCAGTGCATTGTTATCTTGAGGGAAAAAAATACTTGGCAAGATAAAAGTTCTCTAAATTGACTCCAAATTAGTTATCTAAACATGCAATTCAAATAACGTTTACTTGTACCCTACTTAAGATAATGCAGCTTGCTGTATTCAATCACAAATGGCTGCAATATTCCCAACAAAGAAAATGCAGGTGATGTTGGCTTGATTTGTGATAGATTTCATTCCTAGGATGTTTATTTAAAAGAAAAAAGATATAATCAAAATGGATGAATAGCTCCACCTGTCACAGAGCAGATGTACAAACTGGAAAGTATTGTGTGTGTGCCCATTGTCATCTTAGCTAATCCCTTAGCTCGGAAAATTATATATCTTTGAATTTTCTAAAAAAAAAGGTAGATTTATGCTATTTAGATACACTTGTTCTCCACTGTTCTCAGAATAAATAAATAAATACAGAACATAAGAAGAATGGGCAACTAAAAGGAGATGTCATGTGCACTTTGCCTTCATTAAAGGGGTTTATATGAGAAGTTCTTAATACTCATCCTCTACTATGCTCACTTTATTCTTTGTCACAAGGTGAATGTTAAAGCATTGAAATAAAAATAATCCTAAACAGGTTACTTTAGGATAATAAACTCATCAAATATCTATTAACACACACCAAGTCCAGTGGAATCACGCCAAATATGGGTGTCAATATGCAGGCTGAGTCCCACAGAATGCTTGAAGACAAAAAATATTCCTGCAATGCTTGCCCACAGTTGCTAATACAGAGGTCTGCAGTGATGCAGGGAAGTCTATGTATTTTCTTAGACATCAAGTTAGAAATCAGTTAAAAGAATGATTCTCAATGGGCGTGACTTTTTTCAAGGGATACTTGGTAATATCTGGAAACATTTTTTTTCTTGTCACACCATTGAAGGTGTGCATACTTCTGGCATATATGGGTAAGAGGTCAGCAATGCCATTAATTATCCTAACATATGTAAGACTCACTCACACACTCACAAAAATTGTCCCATCTAACATTTTGGTAGTACCTAGGTTGAGACACGATGGTCCAGAAAATATGGAGATGCAACTTAGAGAGTTTGTAAGTAATCAAGGAGAATAAAAAAATGTACCAAAGTATCATACACTCATAATCAAATAAAATAAATGGCATTGATAAATAAATATATATCCTCAAGAGCTAGTGCATAAATAAGGCAAAATTCATAAATGTTTAACCTTGAGATTATTAGATATTTTATGATATGACTACAGATATCCCAGCAGAAAATGTGTGTGAGAGAAACCTTGAAAACTTATAGAACCCTCAGGATATTTCTAACAGAAATTACCTGAATGGATTATGCCTGTCCTTGTGAACAAAATCATTTCAAAAAGTTTATAGATAGCGAAACTTCAAAGAGTTTATAAACTTCAAAGAGTTTATAGATAGCGAAAATTTCTTTTTAAATATTGATTGTAATGCAAACACAGGAGTGCTTCCATAAGTGTTATGTAAACAAGTAAAAACTGTCAAATTTAGGATGAGTCTGTAAGATTTCTTTAGGTACTTTGGTTCTTTTTACTTTGTCCTCATCTTGCCTACTTGTAGGTTCTCTTCGTAGTTTTATATCATCTCTAGAGATCAGATGCTCATAAGCAGGAAGTACAATTAAACTACTGGATGTTATTTTGATTGCTGTCAATGTAGCTTTTGGATTAATAATGAAACCAAATTAAATCCTCAAATTCCTCAAATGATAGCAATAAAAATATAATTTCCAGGGAGCAATAAGGTTACCTGTGTTGAACACCACGTCCAATCAAAATAAAAACCAAATTTTCAAACACAGGAGAGTTCTGCTATTTTGTCAAAGAACTAGAAACTGACTGATTTCATCAAAATAATATCAAAAAGAGTTTGTACCTTTTTTTTTTTTTAGCTGTTTCATGCATCTCTGATGATAACCAGCCTGCAGAAATGACAGAATGCCTCAAGCAGACAAATGGCATGCCTGCCCTTGTTCAAGAATGTACCGTCCCGTGTCGAGAAGACTGCACGTTCACTGTTTGGTCCAAGTTTACACCCTGCTCCCTGAATTGCGAAGCCACACAAAGTAGGCGTCGACAGCTCACAGGTAGGATGCACCTGTCATTCGTTAGCTACAAACAGCTACACAAGTCTGAATCTAGTAGGTAGAATATAAGCTCCAAAATTTGGAATTTGAGTCAAGTCTCTCCCTCTACCCACATTTCCCAATACATATCCTCAATAGCTAGTGCATTGCCTTGCACATCATATGCCCTTAATGTAAAGAAAAGAGTACAGATCTGTGCCTCCTCATGTGAGGCACCAAAATATCAGGAAAAGGGATGCAGAATACGAACTCACAGCCAGACTGAATTTATTCAGAGAAAATAAATCCACAGAGGTCAACGAACTGCCATCATGGTCATAGACTGAACACATGAAAGAGAACTCCACCCCAGCAGAATGGGCCCTTTTGTATCTTAGGTGGGTTAGGAGTGAGGGGGAGCAGCAGGCAGAGGTGAGCTTCTCCATACTGGTTCTTCAGGTTTGGCTCACTGGCTTCCAAACCTGTGGAAAAATGCAGGGGCTGGGGTGGGGAACAATATAGGTGTGAGGTAGAACTGATCTCTTGAAAGAAGGCAGGGGTAACCAGAAACCTCAAACGCCTGGGGCTTTGTCCTTGTTCCAACACATAAGTTAAAACTTGGAAAATGAAGGAAAGACCTGAGCCATTTTATAGTTAAAAAGTTCTGTTTAATTTATAATCTCTGTAGTCATAAAATGCACTTTGTCCACCAGCTTCTTTCGTGTAGTTAATGGCAAAGTCTCTGGTGTTTTATCAGGCCAAGATCTCAGCAAGATTGAAGGTAATCATTGATTTGGAAAGAACATCAAAGGCAGATCTAATCCATATTATTGCCACTGCCTTGTGGGCAGTTGGACATGATAGAAGTTTAGCAGTGTAAGGCAAACATCCATTATATGTAAATAATTGCATATACACTTATGTATAAATTCTACTTCAGTGGTATTTTATTAATTGTTGATTCTGTTTGTTTCTGAAAAAATGTATTAGAAAGCAAAATAACAGATCATTTAATTGAAGTCCTAGAGAAATCTTTGCCTGCAATATACAAATAATTTATAGACTAGTCTCCTTTACTACTTTTATGGAAAAATCTACTACAACTTCGCTTAAATGAATGTGTACTTGTATACGTAGAAAACATAATTCAGGGAATAGAATACTAAGATAAAAATGTCACAGTAATCATTGATATAATAAAATTGGGGTTGACATTGAAAAATTAGGCATAGAAGGCCATTTGTTGACTTGAATTGTTCAAGTGTTGATTCTCTGGGTTTCAAGGCCTCTTTGAATGCATTATTTACCTGATCATATTTTGGATTTAACTCACTATCCTGGATTAATTTTATTGACTAGAGCCCTTCACAGCATTCATCCACACAAACTGGGACCTCATTTATAAGTGTAGCTGAAATGTATAATCACAAATAGAAACATGAAATAAAATAAAGCTGCACACTGGCTCTCTCTTCCACAAATATGTGTGCATATGAACAGAGTTTAAAGAGCTTGTGGAAATTGTGCATGTCCTTTTAACTCCAAGTTCAAAAATCAATCTGGTGAAACTTTGTCAAAATATATATATATATATATATATGTATAGACAGATGGATGGATAGATGGACAGATAGATAGATAATGTGCCAGAAGCCATCATCCAAACAAATCTTTGTATCTTTGAGTTGAGAGAGAATTTCCTTCAAAGGAAACATCAGCTTAATTTGAAGCCAATTCTCTTCTTTCTCCTGAAGAATGATATTTTGCTAATGATATTTTGCAGGTGCAAAAGGATAATGAAAAATGTGGAAAATTCTAGGATATTTATTCATTTTACAACCAGCATGGTTTGTGTTCTGAATCGTTAAAATTTTAATGAATTTGAGTTTTACTTATAATATACTGTTTTTATATAAATATTGAAAAATAGTTAAACTCTTTTGCAAACTCTAACTTAAGAATTCTAATACTAAAAGACCAAAATTTCTTTTTGAAATTACTATCTTAGGCGATTTTTTTGTGCCTAATTGATCTTTGTGTGTTTTCATGTCTGGGAATACAGTAGTTAAAGAAATCAGTCAAAGGAAAAATTTAGTATCACTGTTGAAAGAAAAACTAGCAGTTAATTGAAATATTTATATTTTTCAGGGTTTATTTTTGTTATGAAATCAATACTTGTATTTTGATATTTCTTCTGTAATTTGGTAGCAAATGAAATAAACAACCTAAAGCCAAACAACCTAAAAGCCACGGATTCAGGCCCCAAAGCAAAGTGACTCTTTCACATACACACACATACACACACACACACAGAGGAATTGAGAGAGAGAGAGTGAGAGACAGAGAGAGAGATTGAATATGGGGCCATCTAGAGTATATATTTTTCTCTTTTAGCAAAAACTTTAATTCACTATTTGGGGGTATACCATGTGTTGTACTGTTGTACCTTCTCTTGACTGATGTTGTAGTCTGAGTGGTGATTAAAACAGTTTTTTTTTACAGTACTATAAATATTCAATTAATTATGCAGAAAGGCTGCCATTAGGTAGAAAAGTCTGCCCCTTTTTTAATTTTAATTTTGAATGAGTTTTTTAACAAATTCAATGTGATTTGCACATACAATTCTAGGAACATAATGATGTCCCCTTCCCCTCCTTCCTTCCCTCCCTCTCTCTTCCTTCTACTTTGCTTCCTTGCTTTCTTTCTTTTTTCTCTTTTTTTCTTTATGAGACAACCTATTTTAAATTTACATTATGGTAAAAAGGCTTAATACTTCACTAAATAGGAATTTTAACAAGTAAAAATGAAAAAGACCCTAGTTTATTAGGAATACAGATAAAAACTATAAACAGTAATTGAATGGAAAAATGACCATCTAACCCATATATAGATTTTAAAGTGATCACAGATCATTAAAACTGTAGTAGAATAATATTCTTAGCCATTGGTTTGACAAAGGTATATATGAGTTTTACAAAGCTATATTTGCAGCAATGCTTACAGACTTGTAGACATTTCTTTCTTCTTTCTTTTTTTGTTTGTTTTTAAAATGTTAGTTCCCACATATAAGAGAGCTATGCAGTTTTTGTCTTTCTGAGTCCAGCTTATTTCTGATCTGCCTATTTGTAAATTTGAAACTTTTACACACACACACACACATATCTATCTATAGGTTTATGTTAAAACAGCTAGATAATTAGTACACACTCTAACTTAAAGAGGAAATGTCTTTAGACCTGTACTAGGAATTGAATTTTTAGTACTAGATGTTTTGAAATCCAAAGATTGCTGCTAATTTTTATGATAATGTAGTCACAATAAAAGGCTGATGATTGCTTGCTTCTTGTTGTGAGAACTGTTTCTGCGTTAACTAACTTGTTGTAATCCTCCTTCAAACAGTGCTGCCATGTAATTAAGAAGACTCTCACAAATGTAGACACAAGCATTTGCATAAAGTATTTGTTCTGGTTCTTTTAAATGAATATTTTCTTTCTTTTTATCCAAGTCTCTTCCTGCATTTCCCTCCTACTTTGCCTCTTTCTCCTCCCCTTTCTCCTTTCCTCCTCCTTCTTTCTTTCCTTCTTTCCATCCTTTATTTTTTTTTATTTTTTCTTCTCTCTCTCTCCTTTTTTTTTTGACGAACTCCTTTTCTCATTGTTTACCATGTACAAGTCTTATGCCTAAGCATTGTCACATGGGAATGGATAGACTTGACCCTAATTTAACAGTTTACAGTATGATTGCAGATGTGACAAGATTTTTGCTACAGATAATTCCAGACAATTACAATATAGCATCTACTATAGTAGCTGTTGTATTGTATTTGTTTCTTATTGTTGTATTACAAATCACCATGCAACTAGCTTAAACTAACAAATTTATTATTTTACAGTTTTATATGTCTGAGATCTGACGTGGCTTTCAGTGAGCTAAAGACAAGATGTTGACAGAGCTTCCTTCCTTCCTTGAGACTCCAGGGACAGTTTGTTTCCTTTGGTTTTCAAACTCATAGAGGCTGCCAACATTCTGTGCTTCAGGGTCTTCCTCCCTTCCTCTATCTTCAAAGCCAGTAACATTGCACCTCTCTGGTCAATCTTCTGTAGTTAAATTCCCTGAGATCCTCTACTCGGCCTGGAAGAGTTCTCTGAGCTTAAGGAGCCTTATGATTTCTTGAATTTACACAGATAATCCAGAATTATCTCTACATCTCAAGGGCCATACTTTTAGTCACATCTGCGAAGTCTGTTTTGCAAAATATTGTAACATGTTGAAGGTTTCAAGTATTAAAATGTGGATGTCCTTGAAGGGTTATTATTTTGCCTACACAAGAAATCAGTGTAAAAGAAGAGCCCCTCCTACAAAGCTGAGTTGTAGAGTGTGTCCAAGAATGGATTTCTTGAAGAAGAAATCTATTAGTTTGAATCTGAAGAACAAGTAGTCTTTAAAGTAAAAAGGGAGGACAGAATTGATGGAAATTTCTGGACTGACACTTCATAAGGCCGAGTGAGTAATTTCTGGGAACTGAAAGGTGCTCAGTAGAACTGGAGTGTATTGTGCTGGAAGTAGAGTGGTGCAGTGTAAACAGGAGGTGAATACTAAAGGGCTCAGATTCTTTGAGGCCTTGACAACCATGATAAGGAGTCTGGGCTTCATTCTATTAACTGTGATAGGGCATTGATAACTTCCAAGAGTGATGGTGTCACATTTACCTCTTAGATAGCCATCTCTGACTACAGTATGTGAAAAAGATTGAAAAGAGTGAGGTACAGCAGCAACAAGACCTTGCAGGAAGCTATAGTAGTTATTAAAGTATGATTTGAAGGTGTATCAGTTGGAATTTAATACAATGGACTGATTCAAGACATATTTAAGCATTTGAGTCGATTGCTCTTGATCATTAGTCAGATGTAAATCTTCCATTAGAATGATTTAAGTTTTATATTCCAATTTTTGGGTTGGTCACATTGGTAAAATTGAGAAATATACAGAAACAAAGATTGTAGGGTGAAGGCTGTATTAGTTTGGGTTTGCCACAGTGAACTCAATGAGTTCTTTAGGTGCAGATCCACATTGTATGGCTCTGGTACTTCATAAAGAAATCTTGGATAAAGATAATAATTTGAGGTTTAAAAATGTTAGGTAGTAATTTAACTTGTCAATTAGGCAAGTTGTTGAATCAGAAGACAGTATAACATAGGAGCCCCAGCAGTTAAGAGAGAACCAAAGGATGAAAATCATTCACCAAATAAATAGATGCAGTGTGCCCTGAGGGGTGATGGGGACATGGGGCAAGGGAGCTGAGGAATGAAAAGATAGAGCATGATAGGACTTGAGATATTTTAGGAATGAAAGTGTAGTCAGCACACTAAACTATCACTACTTGATCATGTCTGAAAGAGAAAAAGCTATTCTAGGGCTTTTTCCCTTGTTACTGTTGATTTATCACAGAAATAGGAAGACTCAGAATCCAGGATTAATTGAGTTGAGAAGAGAGTAGAAATTGAACAGATAGACACAGGAAGTTTCAACGTTTGATTATGCAAGTTTGGGAAGAGTAGAATGTTGATAGGAAGGAACCAATCACTACCCACTGATAGATGTATTTCTCCACAACAAATTCTCATGGTCATGCTGAGTGATGTGCTTCTCAAACTCATTCTAAGTGTTTGTATTGGCAGATGAATACATCCTCTCCAAGTGACAATGATGCGTCTGAAGCTACGGTCTCACCAATGTCAGATCCTTCAGGGATGCTTTCTACTTCTTGCAGCCCTAAGCATCATGGCAGAAAATTGTAGAATTGCGTATGATGCAAACATCTGACATTGAGGAAAGAACCAGGCATCAGCTGGCATTAGATGTTTCCAAAACAGCCACAAAGACTAGAAAGACCAATGAAGCTGCCCACATTTTTATAACAAGCCATGAGCAGCTAATGATTCAGTAATGAGGAAATAAAAGGTAGAATTACATTATAGGAAAATATTTGATAATCTCAAAGAAGTGTGCTTGCAAAAAAGTTGGCTCAAATCAAAGGCTAGAATCAACTAAATATGTTATTGAGTATTCACAGCTGTGAGAAGTGATACTGCATCATTACTTAAAGTTGGGGTCACAGCTAAAAGGTCCCTGAAAGGCAATTGGTAAGATAAATAGTACTCTAGAATACTTAAGTTAAAAGAGTCTCTAAAAATAGTAGTCAAAGCTTTTTCTCTGATTTCATTAGCCGACGTTATTTGATCATTCATTTCAATTTATGGTTTGTGTCCATCACTTGTGAACTGTGAGCTGCTTAATAGCAGGAGCCAGAATGAATTCAGCTTTGTCCATCACATGCCAAAGACTCATACCCTCACTCTAGGGCCACTGGACGGGAGAACAGCTTGCTTCTTGGCTAAATAAACTCTTTAAGAAACAAAGTTACATGACATGAGGAAAAGGGGAAGGAGTTTTTATGTATACCCTTTCATTTGTTTCCTTGGCAACCATTAGCTTCAAGGATAATGTAGACAAGGTAGTCAGTTTTAACAACAAAGTACATGAAAATTAATATTAAATAATTTTGACAAGATTTTCTTGTTTAGCTACTGTACAAAATACCTTCTAAGGATTTTCTTACAATATCCACATAAAACCATTTCTTTCCAAGTTAGTTTGAACTTCACAAGATTTACTTCCATTTAGGATTTACTTCCATGTTAAAAAAAAAAAAAAAAAGTGAGGGGCTGGCACTGTGGTATAGTAGGTTAAGCATCCACTTGCAGTACCGGCATCCCATATGGGTGCCGCTTCCTGTCCCGGCTGTTCTACTTCAGATCCAACTCTCTGCTGATAGCCTGGGAGAGCAATAAAGGAGAGCCCAAGTGCTTGGGCCTCTGTACCCATGTGAAAGACCTGGAAGAAGCTCATGGCTTCAGATAGGCTCAGCTCTGCCTATTGGAGCATCTGGGGGAGTAAACCAGCAGATGAAAGACCTCTCTGTCTCTCCCTCTTTCAGTAACTCAGCCTCTCAAGTAAATAAATGACTTTAAAAAAAAAGTGAAAAAAGAAAAATTTGTAAGTGCAAATGTGTGAGTGGCTTTTAATAAATGACACATACCAAATTAATACATCAGTGTCTCTTGTTGGCACAGGAAAAAGCAGAAAGAAGGAGAAATGCCGGGATGCTGAACTGTACCCGCTGGAAGAAACGGAACTCTGTCCTTGTGATGTGTTTATATCCCAGCCTCATGGAAATTGGTCAGATTGCATTCTACCAGAAGCCAGAATGGAGCCTCAGCGAGGACTGCGGGTACAAGGAGACAGCAAAGAATGTGGAAAAGGCGTGCGCTTTCGAGCGGTAGTGTGCTCTGATAAAAATGGAAGACCTGTTGATCCCTCCCACTGCAACAGCTCTGGTAAGGGGTTAGATGTGAAATAAATGATGAGAATGCTGACACGAAGCTCAGGAGATTTGTCAAGGCCTATAGTTAGTGGGTTTTTAATTTAATAATTGTTTTCATTAACACGTCTCTCAATGAATATCAACATAATTAATGCACACATTCATAGCTCAGTGATGACCTGGACTATGATTATTTTGGATCTTTGATTCGTTTGCTCTATACCTCATCTTTGCTTGTTGGCCACTTACTTACTGATGGTTAGCACAGTTACTCACTTTACCAAGGGGCCAAAGTCCAGTCCAAATCAGTACCCTGATGAAATATACAGAAGGCATCTGACCTTAAATTTCTTCTAAAGTAGTTGATAGAACACTAATGAAAAAGTTAATTTTGAATGTTTTTCAATATGTGATATAAGTACACCAAAACAAATAAATAGTAGAAATGAAAGGAAAAATCTGGCAGAGGCTTCTAAGCTGTTATTTGGAGAAATGACTATCTTTTCTGAAACCTTGGTGGAAGAATTGGAAAGATATGGATGAATGGAGATAGAAATGAAGCTTAAATATAGCTGAATGAAAACTGGTGGAGGGGCCAGCAGCACTGTGGCGCAGCAGGTTAATGCCCTGGCCTGAAGCGCCAGCATCCCATATGCACACTGGTTCGAGACCCTGCTGTTTCACTTCCGATCCAGCTCTCTGCTATGGCCTGGGAAAGCAGTACAAGATGGCCCAAGTCCTTGGGCCCCTGCACCTAGGTGGGAGAAACCTGGCTTTGGATTGGTGCAGCTCTGGCCATTGTGGCCATCTGGGGAGTGAACCATCGGATGGAAGACCTCTCTCTCTCTCTGCCTCTCCTCTCTCTGGGTAACTCTTTCAAATAAATAAATAAATCTTAAAAAAAAAAAAAAAGAAAGCTGGTGAAACAGGCTACAACCTATTTTTAATGGAGATTATGGATTTCCTGCTTCATTTTCAACTACATTCTAAAATGTGTGTGTACTGCTTTTGTTTTTTAATTTATTTTATTTGAGAGGAAGAGACAGAGATTTTCCATCCACTGACTCACTCCCCAAATGCTTGCAGTGCCCTAGCTGTGCAAGGTCAAAGCCCGGAGCCAAGAACTTAATCCAGATCTTCCACATAGGAGGCAGAGAGATCCAATTGCTTGAGCCATCATTGCTGCCTCCCAGGGCACAGACATCAACCAGAAGCAGGGATTGAGAGTAGCTCATGAATATATGAGACAGAGAGGTGGGGTGGGGAAAGGCATGCAGACATGTAGAGAAAGCTATGAAAGACTGAGAGACAGAGTAAGAGAGGGGCCATCTGCTGGTTTACTTGCTAAAGGGGCTAGACCAAGGCTAAGGCTAAGGCTGGAAGGCTGGATTTCAATCCAGTGTTTCATATGAGTGTAAGGAAACCAAATATTTGAGCCATCACAGCTGCCTCCTAGGGCCTGCATAAGCAGGAAGCTGGAGTCATCAGCCAGAAATAAATATTGAACCCAGGTGCTCCAATATGGGTGCCAGGCATCCTGACCAGTGTCTTAACCACTGTGACAAATGCTGGCTCCTATATCTTTATAAAGAGTTAAAAAACTAAGAATCTTACAGAAGATTATGGAAAGAGTTAGTATGTGAAAAGCCTTCAAAATGAATGGATAAATTTTGGTCTTAGTCATCAAGATTGGTACTAATAAGCTTTGTCAATAGGAAAAGAAATAGCAAATTGAGTTCAGTTCTAATACAAAAGTTAGAAAAATGGGAGCTCTATGTTGCTAGTATGCTAGCTCATCTTTATTTAAGTTCTGCATGTATTATTTTATGAATGCAATTTAAAGTTTAATGATTTTTTTAATTAATTGTTCTAGACCTGCTTCATAGGTTAGTCTATATTATTGTTTTAAGCAATTTACTTCAGAAAACATTAAATATAATCAAAGCAAATAATTGACCTGTTTTAAAGAAGCCAAAGCTAGGTACATTTAATCACCATTTTTTTTTTCAATTTTGATGTATTTGTTGGTCTATTTTTTCTTTTATTTTATCAAAACCTATACAATGAATATCGGCTATGTACCTGTCATCTGTGATTTTGTTTGTACAGTTATGGGGAAATGAAAAACTGATGAAGTTGATTATACAGTGAGGTTAGAAAAAAATAAATGAACAAAAAGAATGTCAAGTTTTAATTAGCTCCAAGGATGCATAATAGAAAATCTTTAGATAGATGTAGGGTAAATCCTCACTGAAGTAACAAACATCTGAGTGTAAAGATTGAGAAGAAGGCAGCATGTGAAAGTCCATAACATTGGCCAGCACCACGGCTCACTAGGCTAATCCTCCACCTTACGGCGCCGGCACACCGGGTTCTAGTCCCCGTCAGAGCACCGGATTCTGTCCCAGTTGCCCCTCTTCCAGGCCAGCTCTCTGCTGTGGCCCGGGAGTGCAGTGGAGGATGGCCCAAGTGCTTGGGCCCTGCACCCCGTGGGAGACCAGGAAAAGCACCTGACTCCTGCCTTTGGATCAGCGCGGTGCGCTGGCCGCGGCGGCCACTGGAGGGTGAACCAACGGCAAAAGGAAGATCTTTCTCTCTGTCTCTCTCTCTCTCACTGTCCACTCTGCCTGTCAAAAAAAAAAAAAAGTCCATAACAAGGCAATTTCAGTCGTGGGATGTCCAGAGCATGGAGGCTAGGCAAGATGCCATGGCATAAACAAGGGAATCTCTGTGGCTTGGATGTAAGGGGTAGGAGGAGTCCTCTCTCTCTCTCTCTCACACACACACACACACACACTTCAAAATGCTATGTTCATGGAAAAACAAAACTAAAAAATGTTTATTTTGGTGCAAAAAATAATGGAAATCCATTCATAGTTTTCTCATAGTATGCATTTTCCCTAAATTTTTTGAAGACACTTCATAATAACAGTCCTGTTTTCATCATGGACAAACTGGAAGCAGACTCATGACCCAGGCTGGTTCTCCTGATAACAGTGAATGCCTTACCCTTTCCAGCTCTTACTTGGATGTTGAGGTCCATCTGCATTTCCAAGATGACATCAGGGAAACTTCCTCCTGAGGACGACGCTTCTTTTTGCTGAGATTTCCTACATAGCTCCCCGCCGTACACTTGGCTGTGGGAGCACAACACAGCATGTTGTGAATGATCCACTCTAATGGTTTCCACACACACATGATTCAATCCACAGGAAATCACAACAGAGCTTGTTTGGCTTTGCAGACATCACTGTGGGGAAAAAAAGAAACTTCATAAAATGGGGTGTATGCCTATGTCCTGACAGCCATTGTTGGTTCCTAATGACTGCTACCACTGCCTAATGTCAAAGTGCAAGACTTGTTTCCCATCCATGACAATGGGACAAATGTTGGTCAGGACTTTCTAATTTGGAGCACAATATAATATATGTCAAAATTAAGATATTAGAGGAGAGTTCCTCCAACTGTGCCTCTTATCTCCAGTGATTTTTCTTTTCTTCAAAAATCAAACCTAAAAAGCATTCCTTCTCCTCCCATGCTGTGTTGGTCCTACTCCCTACTGCTGTTTTCATGCCTCATTCCAGTCTGTTCGGTATCCCCTCATATCAGGCCAGTCCACTTCATCACTTCCCATTCCTCTTCCATGTCTTTTTTTTTCATAGCACTTAATAACCAACTTACGTGTTATACGTTTACTTTTATAAAGCTATTGCTTATTATCACAATCCATCCAATAAATGGTGACGTTCTGTCGCTCCCCGTCTTCGTGGAGGAACGACACAGGACCCTGCGCTGTTCTTTCGTCTGCTCGGCCCTCCCCGGGTTTGCTGCTGGTTCTCCCCGGGTTTGCTGCTGGTTCTTCCCGGGTTGGCTACCGTCCCTTCCACCTCCGTGAAAGGGCGTTTCCCCCTGCCACATTCCCCACTTCCGCGGGGGAGCGGCACACCGCCGGCCGGCTCTCTTGGGGGTTGCACAGGTGTTCCCCTTAGATGTTCCCCCTAGATGTTCCTGGTGCATGCCGTCTCTCTCCTCCTTTATAGTCCTTTTCCACCAATCCCAACTCTGCTACCCACACGCCGAGTACTCTGCTCTCCTCCAATCAGGAGCAGGTCCTACAGTTTATTGGTTGAACTGGAGGCAGCTGCGTAGAAGCTGTTTCCCTTCTCAGCGCCATATTGTGGGAACGCAGATGCATAGAATAAGTCTTAATTCCAGTAACTTAGTCTAGTCCAGGTTGCTCCCCACAACGTTCCAAGAAAGTGGTAAAGAGTTTTTTATTTTTACCTTATGTCAGCTTTTTACCTGCTATATGCACAGCACCTGGAATACTGCCTGAAAGTAGCAGGCATTCAAAACACATTTTTGAAGGCAGGACTACATCACCAGGTGTCAATGATTTTGCCTTCTAAATATCTCTCAATCTTCCCCTTTTCTGGTTCTTCCTACTGCCCTTATAATAGATGTCTATTGCTCTGTTGTCAATTATCTATGCGATAGCTATCCTGCCAAAAGCAATCAGCAATCACAGTAAAATACAAATAACACCATGCTATTGACCTAACTGACCCTCCAGAATGCTGGTGAATATATACGTAGTCTGCCCAGGGTGGTCTTTCCCCTCATCTCATGAGACCCCATATTCTCTGGGATGAAATCGGGTGCTGCCTATATTTAGCTTTATTTTTTTTTTTAAATCCTCCATGTAGATTTCTATTCCTCTTCTTAAACTGAGAGCTCATTGAAAATAACAACTAAATCATGTTCATTTCTCCATCTATGTTGGTGAGAGAATGAATGCATGCTTCATAACAAGAATGTTTGAAGAAAAAAAAACACAGTTTTCAAAGTGATCCACTGATCACCATATAAAGAAATTTTAATTCATCAAATGATAAAGTAGATATGTATTTTATATCTGATTCCAGATAAATTATGATTGATTTTGATAGACAGTTATCTACATTAGTGTTTTACTCAGAAACCAAACACTTTCAACTTAACCTTGTTATAATT